TTTTTTTATTTTTTTCATTAAGTATGAAATATGACCCGATGTTGATCATAGGATTGGAAAATAACTCATTTACACTCTCTCGGTTACTTATGCAAAGGCTAATTATAAAATGATGAAATTATAGAATACCATGCAAAATTTTTAAAAGTCACTTTATACTATTTTAAATTTTTAATAATTTCCATCTTATGTAGATGTTTTACAACAGGATTTCTACAGATAAAAGCATTAGTCCTATTGAAATTGTTTTTATATCTAATTACCAGATCTATGGATCGGATCAGGATAACAAAGCATGCTGTCTGTACCATCGAATGTTTCGAAGGTGGCCTCATGTTTACCATTCCCAAACACTCCCAGTATCTTGAAACTCCAAGAGGATTTCTGAAATGCCACTTCTTGAAATTCTGATTTCCTTAGCTGTTACTTGCTGACTCATTCTTGGCCATCTTCCTTAACTTCATCTTGGTTTCTATGAAAATTTTGCCATGATTTCAAATAAGAAAAGAATGCAGGAATTTGATGTAAGACCCAACAACATATGAGAACAAAATTGGTGCTATTATGAAAAATATTCACAATAACACTGAAAATAGAAAACTGAAAAGGTTAGAGAAACAAAAATTTTGCACAGTGAATTTTTGGATCATTTTGCATATTCCCCTCTTATTTAGAATTCCTGCTGTAAAAAATATAGTAAATAGGCATGAAAAGGACTCTTCCTCAACATGGCCAATATTTTATTTGCAGATAACATGAAATATCCACTTATAGCTGACAATTCTTAGAAATCTGCATAAATTTAAAATTACTAAACACTTTTACATGACACTGTATATCTTTAAGAGGGTGCTGAAAAGTCCCCAGCCTGGTTGAGCTAAGAAATTTTTAATAAGCTATAGCTAAGACATTCAAAGCGTTTTAATTTTTCTTCTTTAATCAATTTAGTTCTTTGGTAAAAATTGAAAATTAAAACTTTGTATTGAACTGCTTATGGGTTCAGTTTAAATTTTTTTTTATTAATTTCTCTAAAGATTCATCTGGTGCTTGAACATCCAGCATTGGGATTTGTGTCTGGATGAGAAAGGAACAATTAAAAATTCAAATTTTAAAATAACTGAAAAAAAATTAGTGATTTTAAGTTTTTAATTTATATTGAGTTTAAAGTAACAAAAACTTTATTAATTTAAAATTTTTTGTTTTAAATTCAGTTTAAAATATCTCCAAAACTTTGTGAATTGAGGAAATTAAAATGCCAAGGAATCAGAGTTAGGTTTTGAAGTGAATCATGATGTGAGGTTTTGAAATTCTGCAGAGTTTGTGATTTGAAGAACTCAATTTTTAGCCTGAATTGGAGTTTCAGCTCAATCAGATTTTCAGCCCAGATCAGATTTTTGTCCAGAATTCACCTTATAGCCTGAATCAGAGTTAAAGTGAGGTTTTGAAGTTCCATAGAGTAAACTGAGGAATTTAAAGTTACTTCTTCAAAATTATCATTGTTGGTTTCTAAGCTAGACCAGAGGTCCCTTTATTTTTGGGTCAGGGACCCAATTAGCCCTCTGCAGGAACTAGCTTAAAAGTTCACATGGAGTGTGGCTTTTAAACTAGTTAAAAATAAATATATACATCTTGCAGATATTTATTGAATTGAAGTAATTTTGACACAAGGTCATAATTATAGAGCAAAGAGATTATTTACGAAAAAACTAGCCACTGAGTTATGATAAATGGTTCAACATCCAAGAATTCTGTTTTTATATTCAAAATATATTTTGCACCAACATTTTTAATTTTATCAAATGAGCATTTTTTTGGAAAATATTTTTTTACACTGTGAGTAAGCTTGGAGATAAAGAATTTGGTTTGCAATACAAATTCTGTATTTTTTTGCCATTTCTTTTAGTAAACTTTTAATTAAACTCTTCTTACTCTTTGAAAATTGTTTATACAATGATTAAAGCATTGTAACATATTTTTGTTGTCATTCTCATCAGTCCCCTGATTGGGTGTAGTCACAGAATTGTTGCACAACTGAACACCTGACCAACTTCCTCTGCGTGTCTTGCTAGGTATTCATTCATATGTAGCATGTCTTGGGCAAATTAGACCTGGCCAGGTACATTTGTTACCACATTGGACCACAGGTAATGTCCTCCAACTTGAAGGGTCACCTTGGTGCTGATTTAATTGAGGAGACTCTCTACCTTAGTTGTTTTCAATCTAGGAAGCACTCTGCCCAGGTGATGATATATCATCATTACATTGGATATATTTCTAGTAGTTTAGTAGTTACCACTTTGTTGAGGTCTCAACCTGTGAGGGTGATTTCAACCAGTAGCTATCAAGGCTTTGCTTCTCTACCTAGACCATAAATTTATGATGGATTTGTTTTCTATTGTTTATCAATCCTTTGCAGGTTATTAAGGATTTTTTTTTGAGATAATGGTTTAATAATTCAAATCTTACTAATTAACCAATGGAGGAGAAGATGTGGATTCATACCTTTCTCAAAGGTATTTGTGTGTAAGTGAATATAACAAACCCAATGGGAATTGGAACTCAGCTCTCCGATTAACAATTCTGAGCTATTATCCCTTACACCACCTGCACATCCAAGCTTACAGCCAAGTGGTCACCCATCTAGGTACTGACTAGGTTTTGACTTCAGTGATTGTATGGAAGGTGATATTTCAACATGATATGGCCATAAGCCATAGATCCTCAAGGGTACAACAATTGAAAAAATCTATCTTCATATGTTCTGTTGCCTTTTTCTTTTGACTTAGGATGATGTCAATATTCAAAGACAAACAGGTGATAATAAATGCAATTCTAATGTTTAGAGTTGAGTAGTATTATTAATTCCAGTAATTCTGACATGTATGATCATAAAATTTCAAATATTACCAAAAGATCATTAGGAAAAAGAATAACTTGGAAATAAATATAATGATCTTTTTTCCTTTTTTTTTATTAAGAAATTTTGCAGAAATCACTTTGCAGTTTGGGTGGGAACTATTGTGGTAATTCAAAATTTAATTAAAATATTACAACTTGTAAATATTTAAGAGGCATTTCAAAAAGCCATATAAAAATAAGATTAGCATACAAATATTAAAACAACCAAAGGCACCAGGAAAATATGACCATAAATGTAATTGAAAATAAAATTAAAAACATCAGATGGTATAAAAAGACTTTTCCCTCAATTGTTGTTGTTTTGATTAAAATGATTTTGTAGCCTATGAAAAACTATAAAAACACTTTGCAACAGGTCATAGTCAATCAAGTCAAAAATGTCAGCTTGTCAACACACATCTTCCAAAGAGCTATACAACAAAAGACAACTGAAACTACATACAGACTTCTCTAATATGCTTGTACTTCCTTTTCTCCTGAAAACTATGAGGTAAAGCATTTACTAAAATGTACAGACTTTCTGTTAAATGATAATTTGTTATTAAATCCTAACCAAATGCTAATATGTAGAAGTTAGTGAAAAGGAAATTCAAATTAGTTCCTTTGAAGAGTATCTCTCTCTCTCTTTGTAATATTTTATCATTTGTTTTTAATATTTGCTCATTATGTCTTCAGTCCTTTGACATCATCTAAAAGATGTGTAAGTGGTATGAACAGGAGTTATGTTTAAAATCTATCTATCATGTTCACATCTATCTATCCTGTTTACATCAATCTCAGTCATTTCATTTTATTCTGGTAATATACATCTATACAAGTTTTTCATAGCTATATACTTAGCTAGGTATTTGTGTGCACACACACACTATATATGAGAGAGAGAAAGAGAGCAGAGTTTAGGCTCTATAGCCTTGGGTGGCAACCAGTCTAGTAAAAGAAAAACTGAATTCAAAACCAAACTGAAATGAAATTAGGAAATTCTTCTGGCTATCTTGTTTTAGACACACCATCGCTGCTGCTATGATTGCAGTACATATGCTTCATCTGAAACCCTCATGGGTTACAGAACTTGTGCATGCATGATTATATATATATATATATATATATATATATATATATAAAGATCTAAATTTTATGAAGAGATATAAATATATATATGCAAAAATTAAATTTTATGAATATATATATATATATATATATATATATATATATATTATTCATTATAATTTTATCATATAGACAAAAAAACAGTCTATTCACTACAAAGATGCAACTTATATATATACAAAGATCTAAATTTTATGAACATATATATATATATATATATATATATATATATATATATATATACATACAAAAAATCTAAATTTTATGAATATATATATATATATATATATATAAAAGATCTCTTTTAAATTTTATATATATATATATATATATATATATATATATATATATATATATATATAGAGAGAGAGAGAGAGAGAGAGAGAGAGAGAGAGAGAGACTCATAGTTATACATGTGATGCACTCAATGAAATCAGACAAGATCTGAAAACCTAAAAATTAATTTTAAAATTAAAAAACAAATTGCTTGAACTATTATAAAATTTTCAAAAACTTGTCTCAATTTTGTAATTTTATTTTTTAAAAAGATGCAGTTTGTGTAAACATTTTTAGAATATTGACATCTAATATTTTCTAAAAAAAAATGACAGTAATTTTTTGGCTGTCACAAACTAATAAAAAATATGCAAAAACATACATTTAAATTATTACAATAGAAATAATTATAAAAATACTGAATTTATAGAAAACTCAACCTTACAAAAATGATTTTTGTGAAATACAGATAATAAACTGATATTTAAATTGTAATTTTTCAAATAACAAATGAAACTAATTTCTTTTTATCAAAAACTATGTAAGAAGTTTGTTTATATTTTAATTTAATGTAATTAAACTTATTAAATAAATATGAGATTAACATGATTTAATAAGATTAACATAATTCTTCTTCTATATGGTTGAACTAAATTTGATAGTTTTCCAATGCCAATATGAAAAAGAAAGTGCCTTACCTTAAACCTTGGCTAAAGCCAAAGATAATGCTTAGCAGTAACCAAGAAGTCATTCCTGTGAGCATTTTCTCTCTACTGTTTTTGACCTAAATGCTACACAGCATTTAACTGACTGGAAATGTAGCTTTTTATTGGCTAGTGGCTGTCACCCACAGGAGTGAAAAATCCACATCTGTAAGAATCCCCCCTCTGTCTTCTCAGACACTCCTCCTGATATTTAATACAAAAAGAAAATTCTGTTTAATTATACCTCATCTGTATCCAACCAATACATTTACAGTAAAATCAAATATATTATAAATAAGATGACACACTATATTTTTATGAGAAGAAAAAAAAAACTTTTTTTTTCTAGTGGGCTATTTCAACTTCTCTAATTCAATAAATAGTTGTAGAAACTAATGAAAACAACATGCTACAGTACATTTAACCTTTGTTCTCAGATTATATATCATTTTAAGATTAATTTGGAATGTCAGGGCAGAAAAAAAAATAAAGATCCTGAATGATTTCAAGAACATTTAAAGAAATGATACTGAAAATATCTTTTCACTCACAAGAGATTGCAGGAAATTGTCGTCCATTATTTTCTATATTAAATAATTTGAATGTCCACATTCCAAACAATAATAAAATAAAATTAAAGAAAACCTGGATATACCTGTTAAATAAATCATTTGTATTTACAAACATACAGAGTGCAAGGGATAAATTTTCATCTAAATTACACAAAAATGAAAATAACACTGACATTTCATTTTAACAGATATACAGGTATACCTTGAGTTAAGTCGTTCATGATTATGTCATTTGTCAAAAAAATGTGGAAAAATAAAAATCAAGTTTAAGTCATTTTATTCGACTTTATATCTGTTCACCACAAATATTGAAGTCATAATATCACAAGAAAAGCATTAAAAGCACATCAAATCATGTTACTGTACAATAAATAAGAATAAAAGTATATAAAATCATATTAAAATATGTACATTTACAGTAAATGTTAATATAATCATCATAAATCCTAGAGAATGAAATATGAAAACATCTTTGACTCTGTGTTGTCATCTTATTTAGCAATCTTTAAGAGGTCAATATTAGTATTTTCCATGGTAGTTCCCATATCTGCTGTTTGGCATTGTTGTCAGTGCCATTCATGATTTCCATGAAATTAAAAGCCAGTTTAGTTTTGGTATATGTCTGCTTATCACCTACTCTCTCATTCTCATTCATTTGTGACTTTATGGCTCCCAAGATATATATATATATATATATATATATATATATATATATACAAACAAAGATCTAAATTTTATGAATATATGTATATATATATATATATATATATGAAGATCTAAATTTTATGAATATCTATCTATCTATCTATATATATATATATATATATATATATATATATATACAAAGATCTATGGCTCCTAAAACAATTCCTGGTGCAAATGCTAAGTGTAATGTTATAATGCTGAATGATAAACTTACTATGATAAAACGCCAGGAAAAAGTGAAAAGGTTATATTGATTGCTTGATCTTTTGGAATGAGTTGGACAACTGTACTGATGTTTGTTCACAATAAAGATAAAATTTTGGCACATATCAAATCTGATGTCGCAGGGATGGAGAATATTGTTGTCAATAAGAAAAGAGGGAAAATCTTTGAAGATATGGAACAACTTCTTTCTCTTTGGATTGATAGGTTAAATCATTAGCATGCTGCTATTAGTCAAGAAATCATTCACTGTCTTTCAGGACCTGAAAAAATACCCAGATGAGAAAGATGTAGAATTTAAAGTGAGTTAAAGTTACCACTCTATTAAGAAACAAGGTGAAAGCACATCAGCTGATGAACAAGCAGCAGCTGAATTTCCTAAAGCATTGGCTAAGATCATCAAAGAAAATGGGTTTCTTACAGATTTTTAATGTTGATGATTATATTAGAAAAATTGCCAGACCGTTCTTACATTGCATAAGGCTATATTGCTGATAAATTATTTTATTCAGAATACTGTATGTACACATCATAAATACTGCAATATGCAATAGGGAGTGCTTATTTGTGCTTTATACTGTGGTTATTTTGACTTAAGTTGTTTTTCAACCTAAGTTGTTAGATTTTGAACCAATTAACAACATAGGGTGAGGTATACCTGTATTTACCAAAATTACACAAGATATCTTGAAATACTAAAGAGTAACTTTATTCAATAAAATCGCCATTGGTTTCAAGCACAGCCTCCAGATGACTTCAAAATCTGCAACTCTTCTGGACAGTCTCCTTGTTTAAGTTGGTGAATGCTGCCATAAGCTTTGCCTTCAGTTCATCTTCAGTGTTACAAGAAGTTTTGTTGGTCCCTCACTCAACTGTATCCCACACATAATAATCAAGTAGGTTGCATTCTGGGGAGTTAGGTGGCCAGATGTAAGGGGTAATGTGGTTGCAAAAATTGTCTGACAGCCATAACTGAGTTCTCCTGCTTGTGTGGCATGGTGAAGAGTCCTGTTGCCAGACATATGGTTTTCCATCAGCCACTGTTTTGACCCAGGGCAGTATTTGCCTTATCAAGGCATTTAGTGGAGGTCTCCATGTTGAGTCTGAGGCCTTGTGGGAAGATGAATGGAGACATAACGTTGCCATCACTAGTGATCACTCCAATACCATGATGTTGACTGGATATATCATTCAACTCTTTCTGAATCCTCTGCAATGTCCTCAGATTGACACCCTAACACTGAAATGTTTGTATTGGAGCTTGTGGCACCAATGTCAAGCAGTACAGCCTGCCATTTCCAAATTTCTGGTGGAGTGAATTGCATTATGGTGCTCTTTTTCTCACAGATGGTGCCCAACTGACCCTATTATACTGTGCAGTTGAGAAAATTAAAAACAAACAACATGCATGTGCAAAATTAAAAAATATAAATTTACCCATTGCACTCTGTATGTACATATAATTCAAGAATTAAAATGGAGTGAAAAATAGTCTTTAGTCAAGTTAAAATCTTTGGATAGTTGGTCTCGAGGAAAAACTAGTTTAAAAGAGACTTAGTATTTGGTCCACAGTAAAAGAAATTGAGAAAGCATGGTAGAATAATGGATTGCAGCTCAGATTGAGAAATTAGAGAGCTGAGTTTGAATTCCAGTCAAGTTCATTACATTCACTTACGTGCTAATACCCTTAGGAAAGGTATGAATCGAACTCTTCTACCCCCAGCTATAGATAAAATAGGACAGACTGGGTTCTATAGCCTTGGGTGACAACTGGTCTAGGAGAAGGAAAACTGACTTCAAAACTGTATGTAGTCCTGGCAAAGCACATACTATGTAGCTGAAGAAAAGATTGTTTGCATTGTCTCTAGGATCCTGACTACGGTTGACTCCTTTTAAAAAGTTATGGTTGTGAAAAGACATTTAGGTGCTACTTAAGTATGTGATCTACCATGCAAATATGATTCCCCAGAACAACGCATCACTTAAATATGCGATCTATTTGTTGAGTGTAACTAATACTATCACTGTCTGTAAACAGTTTGAACATTGTTCAGAAATGCTATATATAAATTTTGGTCATCTTTCAGTTGATCTAAGAGTTGATGGCAATGAAGAAATGCTAAGGCAGATTCTTCATAGCAAATAATTTGGTTATAGAATTCTTTTGATCTCATGTTCACTTGCTGCAATAAAGGATAGGAATAATAATTTTAAAAATAAGTTTGGTTTATATACAAAATTCACCAAAAGCCTTCTTTCACCATGTGCCAGTTACTCAAGTAAAGTTGCACATGTAGATAATTTTCTTTAAGATAAATCAGATATTTAAGAATTATGCACATAGATCACATACTTATGAAGTACTGACTTTTAAACAGTTGGCCCACAGGAAAAAAATTGTGGTTGAGTAATGCTGTTTGGAGATCATTCGTCTTGTAGTCACTGATTGGCCATCCATGCTGTTGTTGGAGATGATTCATTTTGAAGTTCTCAACACATATTTCTTTCAGCACAGGCTTGGGGGAAGGAAGGTGAGAGTTGCATCTTTTCTCCTTGAAATTTGAAATGATAAGATTTTCATAAGAAAGGATATTAGTTTTCTCTGATTTGTCAAATATTTTACAAGTTGATGTTAACTTCAAACCTATAGACATTTTAATTTAAATGGTGTATGTTGTATTGTGGATTCTTTGGGGAATGTTTTTAATACTTTGTTATTAGGTTGAAAATAAAGTGGCATGTATGTTGGTATGTAATTGTGTTGGAAATAGGGTTTATTTCCTATAGGATGCTTGAAACATGTTAACTCAACAGGTTTTTATTATACAAATAAGACATTTTATCTCTATTAAATTTATTGATTTTTCTAGTGTGTGAATAACATTTACCTAATGTGGCTGTAGTTGATGTATAAAATGACTGAAATATCTGTTCTTTTCAACAAGACATGTTTGTAAGAATTATTTTATTAGCACTAATATACTATATGTTTCTTATGTAGTAGTTGCCATCAAGGTTGTTGCTCTTGTTCAATTTGTAAATGAACATATATATATATTTTCATTGAAGAACATCATATCATGGATGGTACATGCTTTGGGGAGGGTTTTTATGTGCTTGGGCACCAAAAGGAATGACTTGTCTGTTTAATGGCATATCAACTGCTTATGGGTCATTTAATGCTGAAATTTAATTTTCTTGGGCGCTTGGAAGTAAAAATATGATATGTTATTCTGCTTTCACATGGTAGATGATACTCAGCTTTTGTGCATATACATGTTTGTGTGGACATAATTACAAGAGGAGGTGATATGTATGTTTTATATTGTAGTTTTGTTGAAGTTACATTTTGGAATACATTTGAATGTAAGTAATTGTAAGATATTATATAGCTTAATGTCATGAAAGTTCTTGCATGTTGGCTGTTTGGTAGTATGTGTGTATTATTGGTAATTATTTTTTTATATAAAAATGGATTGCTAGTATTTTTGTTATAAAAATGTATTTTTATACTTTCATAGTGTTTTGTTTAGGGATTAAGAAGTGGTTCCATGCCCCTC